CTGAACAGCAGCCCAGAGACCTGGGGAAGGGTCGAGGCTCAAAGGCCCCTCTGGAGACCAGCTGCTCCAGGCCCCTGCTCAGACAGGGCCACATCCACTTGCGTTTTGGAGATCTACAATGATGGCAACTCCACACCTTCTTTGGGTAACCTGTACTAGTGCTCAGTCATCCTCCCAGTAAAAATGTCTGTCTATTTTTCTAGGTTTGAATGGAATTTCCTGCGTTTCAGATGGCAATTGCTGCCTATGAGCCTGTCACTGAACATCACCGAGACCCCTCTCCCCTCTTTTCAGGTATTTATACACATTCAGAAAACCTCCCCTCATCATTTCTTCTCCAGGCTGTGAAGGCCCAGCTCTCCTAGCGTCTCCTCGTGAAAAATGTCCCTTCGTAATCCTCACAGCCCTCTGCTGGACTCACTCCAGCAGCTCCATGGGTTTCTTGTGCTGGAGAGGCCAACACTGGACACAGGCCTTGAGAGGAGGCCACAGCAGGGCTGAGCAGAGGGAGAGGATCATCTTCCTCATCCTCATGGTAATGGTGATGCTCTGCCTATGTAGCCCAGGGTACTGTTGGCCATCTTTTGGCTTGTTTGTCCACTTGTCCTCCAGGACCTCATGGCCTTTCCTGCAAAGCTGCTCTTCAGCCTGTACCGGTATATGGAGTTAACTCACCAATCACATTTCCCTTTATTGAACCCCGGAGATTCCCACACACCCATTTATCCAGGTAGTTAAGTCCTCTGCAAACTTGACAAAGGTGCACTCTGCTCCACCAGCTAGGTCCGTAATGAAGATGTTTAACAGTATCAGGCCCAGTATCACTCCAGAGGTACCCCTGCTGGTGACAGATCTTCAGCTGGACTTTGTGCCACAGATCACAGCACTTTGTGCCAGCCCTTCAGTCAGTTTGCAGTCGACCTCGCTGTTTATCTAGCCCCCGCCTTATGAGTTTAGGGGAGACTGTGTTGAAAGCCTTGCCAAAGTCAAAATAAACACCCACCATGCAGGTCCTATCATCATAGGCCATTGAGATGGCCAAGGAGCATTTCTCCTTGATGAAGGCTGTAGATGCTTCATCATCAGCTTGTTCTCAATATGTTTGGAAGGAGTTTCCAGACTTATTTGCTCTACCTCCTCCCCAGGGAGTGAGCCTGCTGCTTTCCAAATCCTGCTGCTTGCACTTCTTGCTTTCTTTAAGCCCAGGGGGACCTTCCCCAAAATCACATGCTTTTAAACATTACCAGGAGTGGCTTCACACTGGCATCAATCAGCCCATGGATAGGCCGGATTGTCACTTCCAGATAGTTTGAGGAAGGTGACAGTCCAGGCTGAACTTCTATTTTTGATAGTGACCTGCCAGAACAGTTTGCATGTGTTCCTCAAAAAGCTTTTTAATCATTTAAGAACTGTATTTTTCTCCCTCCCATGTAAAAAACTATTTGTTATTCCTAGATAGTGAGTGCACTGCTCCACAGGGATTAGCAGTCACACAAATAAATGAAGCACAGAAATAGACCCAGTTGTTGACAGAAAAGTTCAGAGCAGCGATAGCAGAAACAGCATCTTCCTCCCAAACAAGGCCAATCAAGTCACCATGTGTCACTGATGCTCTCGGAGTGAGGATTGAGGCTTCAAAATTTCAAGAGCAGTTACCAAAGCCCCAATAACCAAGAGGTCTTGAAGGAAATTTTCACTGATTAGAAAACACAGAACACTTACTTCATCCCATGCACAGGCTCTAGCCACGCTAAAGCAAAAGTGACTTTGTTCACAGTAAAGTGTGGACTACCTAAATTGCATCACGAATATGATCAGAGTATAGGTTAAGAAGCTATAAAATTATTTTTTCCCCTCAACTGTACTGAGTCAGTGAGTGAGATGGATTTAAAAAAAACAAAACAAAAAGAGCCCAAGAGTACCTTTTCACTGATTAGAAAACACAGAACACTTACTTCATCCCATGCACAGGCTCTAGCCACGCTAAAGCAAAAGTGACTTTGTTCACAGTAAAGTGTGGACTACCTAAATTGCATCACCAATATCAACAGAGCATAGGCTAAGAAGCTATAAAATTATTTTTTTTCCCTCAACTGTACTGAGTCAGTGAGATGGATTTAAAAAAACAAAACAAAGAGCCCAAGAGTACCAAATTTAAACTAGACACCCACAATTACATTTTCAGTAGCTAAGTTATCAAAGAAGAAAGGTAAAAATAAAATTTCAAAAGCATGAGGATTGCCACCGGAATATTTTTATCTAGTGAGTCACAAAGCCTGAGAAGTAGGGCATTTTAATAGTCTTGCAAAAATTAAAAAAAAAAAAAAGGGAAAAAAAAAAAGCAAAAAAAAAGCATCAGTTCCTGCAGCACAATAAAAACAAAGGTTCCTTCTTACACAGCCAGAGAGACATCTTATTATAAAGGAGGAGCAACCAAAAACCCACCTCTCCGTCTAGATGACACCATGGGCCCTGCAGGGACAGGAGAAGCCTGTAGGTATTTGACAGTATCAAAAATGGATAAAAAAAAAACAAAAAGGTTATTATGGGAGCCAGGCTGCTATCCAAAAACTGGATTAGAAGCACATTCTGGAGTATCAGGAAAGAGGCAGCAATGCCTGAGCATGGCTTAGAAAAAACACAAAAAAGTGGGGAGAGGAAGGAATAGGGAAGTTTAACTTGTTGATCACCAAGTCTGCAATGCCTGTTTCACTGTAACAGCACCATATGTCACTGTGTATCTGCTGTAGGTGTCAGCAGAAGCAGTTCATCCCTAAAACACCAACTGCAGTTTTGCATATATGCAGTGCAAGTCCTACACTATCATCTGAATGATCTGGTGTGTCATGGAGGCCTTGTGCAGATCTTCCCCAAGAGAAACCTGCATCTTCAAATCTGCGTGGGAAGGACTTTCATAAAGACCTCCTCTGACGATTAATTTTGTGTGTGTGTGTGTGTGTGTGTGTGCACGAGCATATGCATGTCTGCTATTCTTAAATCCAGAATGACAAGAATAGAAAAAATTTAAATCTGAATTTGCTGTAATTTAGGACCAGGACCTGTAATCAAAAAAAAAAAAAAAAAAAAAGGACCTGCACCCAACTTTGTTGGGAGAGGGGCAGG